CCGTCAGCTAATTGAACACTACTCTTATATTTGTACAGGCTGCACTAACTGTCCGTCCATGTTTTTAGTCCAATACATATTTAAACTGCATTAGTCAAAACCGATGCCAGTTGATTTGGGCATAATCCTTTCACTGTATCAGCAGTCTATATCTTAACTTACACAACAGTATATCGACAGGTGTGAAGTTAGACAGTTACGCGGATCACTTTACACGAGGTAAATTGATTTACTTGGCAATTACTGGGAAAAAATATCGTATCACGTAAATGACTTGCATACATGTTAAAATGAAAATATTTAGAGCAAAAATACGGTACATCTACGATAACTTTATTGTTTCAATTTATACTAATATATTACTTATAGGTTGTTCAAAGATATACTCAGAGGACTGAAAGTCTCACGGTTTTGTTTTCACTCGAGAGCAAATAGGTCACCTCTGGTAGGCGATAGCTGCAGAGGCCTGACGTGGCCCTTCCCCTAGAGACAGAGCAAGCTGTAACTCGATTTGACCAAAGTACTTGATCCGCTTACGAGACTATTATGTGAAGTGCGGAAAGCAGAATAGAGGAACTTTTGGTCTGGAATCGCTTCATTTTCATCAGACGACAAAAAAGGTTAGAATATATAAACGACTTTTTTGTTGTATACACGCATTAAGTACCTCATGTTATGGACATTAAAATACTGAACAAGGAAGAATAGGCTCAAGTCTAACCTAGAGCAAATAGTTACGCCACTGCTTTCTACACCTGGTATCTTTAGTCCAGTTATCTAATAACAAACAATTAGAGATAGTTCAACGACGGTGCCTTCAATTGTCACTCACAGTCGATAATTCTATATTTTAGACCACTGAGGCACCGCAAGGCAGTTAGAGACTCTATGGCCTATTCACGGAACTTCGTTGTTTTGTAATCATCTCTGCCTTGAATCGATGCTTTCATAGCAGCCGGTTTTAACATGTCAAACCCCACGATTTACATTTTGTATGGAGCTCACATGACCCTTCACTAAACTGTTCGCATGATTTGACCTGTGTCAACAATTCCTCATTCTATTTAAACTAATATATATGTTCTTCATTTTTGGAAGATTCTTCAATCATGAATATCTCACCTCATGCGCTGAAGAATGCCACAAAATAAATTGCTTTTGCTAATTTTTTTGTTCTTAAAATCACATAGTTCCTATAAATCCGACTCAGCTTGTACGAGGCACACTAAAGACTTGTGATGTTTCTAGCAAAAAACACGGGACTAAGCGAAACGGTCAATATACACCTCGCCAAACGCCAAATCAGCGTGATGATTTTAGCCCGCTAACACTGCACGTGCTGTGGCCGCATCGTAATCCTCTACTGGCTACTACGAAAAACGAAGATTATTACTTTTAATACCGTCGTAACGTTTTGGCTACTTGTCTTACCTTAGAGATGATTTTAGGCCCATATTATATGTAGTAAGTATAGTATAGGTATTGACGCTGTATTATATGTACAATGTTGGAAATATTCGAGAAGAATTATTCCTATGAGAAAGTTTTTTACAGCGGCTGCGATCGTCCCTCTGCCTATCCTGCTTATTTGCGTTTATGTTTATCTTCTATATTGAATGTTCTTGCAAATGAGTATTAATTAATAAATACTAGCTCTATACTAATTTAACACAGCCTGACTATGTCGACCGTAGAATACTCCGCTGTCAGGTTGTAGGTCGTCAAGGGAGGATTAAGGCAAAAACAACACTCGCTACTTGTTCAAGCAAACACAGCCCCCTGGAGGTTCACCAGAAGGCAATCTGTTCCTGGTTGTAGCATGAACTACTTCAGTAAAACCTGTCGGAAAGGTTGTGACCGACTAAAATGTTGGACACCGCAGACAAATATGCTTGGAATCAACAGAGCCTGCCGTCGCCGGTGGGAAGAAAGAATTCATTCTTCATTCCAGTTCTGGATTGAGGTTCGCTGAGTTGAGTAGTGATCGAGAAAACGAGAATATGGTTATAAAAGAAAATTTCAAATCGAAGTAGAAAAACGAAAAAGCTAATTTCTATAGGCTTAATTCGAAATACGAAGTCCACATGAAGGGCTTTTAAATTGATTTTGGTCAGTTAATTAAATGACAATTGTTGCTGGTTCCGTCGTAGTGTCTAAGTAAAGCTCATCATGCATTAGGACTCATTACTTCAGGTGGTCAACACAGTTAGCGTTCATAGCAAATGCTGGCTATAAACATTCAGAAGTAACGCATTTCAAGAGATACACCATAAATCGTCGTTCGCTATAGTAGTGATTCCCCTCATCCGTGATCGAAGTCGAGTATGACCATCTAAATAACCCGGGAACTCTTTCTTATTGAGCAAAACCTAATTTAAGCGTCTTGCTTTTAGCTCGCAGGGATCGCAATCCCAAATAATGACCAATATCCTTTATGAAGCTCAGCCTTCTACAATATTTCTAATAATTCTATGTTGTAATCTAGTTAAAAATGTGTGTTACACACTGTGCCGCTTACATACCCTCCACCTGGCTTCCTTCTTATGACTTCAGGTTTCTCATTCTTTCCAGTCGTCTTGAAAATGTGGGCCAGTATTGATTAGGAACACCTTTTTTGCCAGAACGGTAGCTAGTGATAATCACTTTGACTTATTGAAAAAAAAATTTTAGCAAGACTCTGGTGAAAATAACGAGTTTACTTTCTTATAGAACAATGGTCCACCTGTACAATATCGTAATTACGTAAAAACTATTTCGATAAAGATCTTCAACCTGGTTAATTAGTCGTAGCGAACCTAAAATATACCCTGCCAATTTTCCAAACCTTATGCCTACAGGCTTTTCCTCTGTGGATATACCTGAGAGAACCGATGACACTGGAAGATTGAATTATCGAGCTCGAGAATCAATAGCCCGTCATTGTCAGCTGTGAAATAACCAAAACGGTAATAGCTTTGCATATCTAAAGTAAAAAAGAAAAGCGTACGCTCTATATGGATTATTCTGCATTTCAGATGTTAATTAAATGTAAAAAAAGCGAAGGTGTAATCATTGTGTTTTGGTTATCTTTTTTATCTATATATATATATATATATATGCGATTACTGAAGATCAAGGGGCAAACATAGTGAAGGATGCAGCTCTGATTGTAACTTTAAAGCAAACTAATTAATGATAGTATTTCTTCTTGGCAGTTTATCCAGCTGACTTATTTCGAACGGCCTGTGGCTAACAGATTGTATCCCCAGGAGTATGGCAGTTCTCGATCACTGATTATGTATGTAATTGGCTACTGACTTGATAATATAGGACTACAGCCCCGGAGCAGCTAATTTAATATCCAAACGAACAGCAAGCAAATCTGCAGTGCATCTGGCCCGCCTAGACCTGTTGTCTGAGGCCGATAAGCAAGCAAAGTACACTGAATGCAAGTGGCTAGGGCAAGCTTAGTCTTGCATAACGAAGTCTCTTCAACCAGTCGGAGCATCTATGCTGCCCCGAGGCTAGTCAGAGTACGGGACTTAACGAGTCCAGGTGGCGAAAAACAAGTTCTACTCGAAAATGATCTGTAGAGGAAGACCGTATTTCAATTTGCACATTTGTGTGTATCGGTAAGTGGCTCATTTTTAGCCTCATCCTCTCTAATCTATATCCTTCTGTAATTGCACGGTCTCATATTTGAAGGCTAACTTGGCCGCCTTTGTTTAACAACGTTTCACGTGATATCGGACATTATACATCCTTTTTTCTACTGCGTGTCCTTAGTCTTCGTTCGCCACCATACGTCGATAGCTTAGATATGCCCTAGAGTTTTCAGTAATTTTGATTAACCGGAGCATTTGGCAATCACTATCGAAGGTTTTCTTCAGTGTCCACAAATGAAGTTGGCCAATGACGAAACAGTGAAACATCGATCTGCAAGCGTGCGATTCGCACGCAGCTGTGGCAAAATTCACTCTTCTACAAGGCGAAGAACATCCAATACCTTAGATGATACAATTATAAATTACATAGTATCAGTAAATATGGCTTTGCTAGGAGTTATATCAAAGCGAAAAAGGACCTTGTAAGTTATTTGCAATAGGAATATCGAACAGACTTCAGTGTCGATGCTTAGCGGAGGCGACACAAAGTATTGCGCTTGTAAACTTCTTCGCCGGCAGGAAACTATACAATCAACGGGTTTCTGTACTTCGTACAACAGCGGCTAGCACCGTAACTCTTAGTTACGCTATATCATTGTCTTGGACCTCATCAGTCACCACGTGTGTCCTAACTAACAAAATGATTCTGATTATTATTCTTTCATAATTATCGTTACTCGGTTATGGATTATGTATTCTGAGGTACTTACCAGCGCCGGCTAGAAGCCTCAAGAGCGAGCCTTTAATGCAAATAATGTTGAATTTCACAAGAGAGGAATAGTCGACAGCCGGTCTCATTAACATAGCGCTGCTGTGAGTCCTTTGAAAGCTTCCAGCGGTAGCTTACCCAATCGAGTCCCGCTGAGAAGCAACCTATCTGTTCGGAAACTATGAGCCTGCTTAGTTGTATTACAGGACACTCTATGCCCTGGCGTAGTGCAGATCAGTGTGAGCCCGTGCAAACGTACATAAAATTCCGAATTTCGATAAACTTCAACCGGACTTTAGGGACGGTGCTAATAGTGGGTATGCTAAAGTCAAGGTAGGGTAGAAAAGGTAGAAAAATAAAAAAGGCTGCCCTGAACCAGATCGAATATTAGTCAGTGGATAAAGGATTGCTAATCTATAACTAAGCTAAACATATAACTAAAAATTAATTTCTAAAAATCTATTCTACTTGCTCCCATGAAAATCGACCTACTTTATTCGATTTCTTTAGATTGGACCAAAAAAAAACTTCGAAAATGTCTTGCTGGTATACTAATACCGAGCATTCAATGGACAGTGAAATATGGAGGAAGCCATAATTTAAAAACAATGATACATTATCAATTTTATTCAAAGAGTCTTCTTTGATTAGCTTTCTGGCTTAGATATTTTAATTATACTGTACTGCAATATATTAACATTTGTTATATGTATACCTAAGCACAATATTGCGTAAGCTATAAACTTTCGTAGGAATTAGCGTTTCTTTTCCACATTACAGAGCCAATCCTGATTAGGCTGCATCACACAAGAACCACTGAAACTATATTTAACCAACATTGCTACTGTAATTATTATAATTAACGATATTCAACAACACAAATAATAGATAAACTATAAATATGCACTTACGTGTATGCGTAATTATAACACCCGCTAGTGAATTGAAATAATGGTAAGTGTTTTGCTGCTGAATTAGACTAAATAGGCGAGATCGTGATATTGGGAGTATATGGATACTCACTAGAGAGTAACACATCGTAATGCTACAAAGCAGTTTGCTTGTTTTAAATCGACATATGGATTGAGGTTTACCAATCACGCCAAAATAGACAATCACGATATGTGCTAAACAATGGAGCGTTGGAAAGTTAAAGCCTAACTTCTTTTGTAGCTGATTATAGCACTCATAGCGTTTGATTGATTCCGCTGATAACAGGTAATCTACAAAAGTGTTTACACAGTATCTCATAATGACGATCACTAGGTGATACAGAGTACACACGCTACAAGTGTTATCAAGTTAGTGCAGAGGAAAATGACCTATTGCATCCATCTAGAGTTATTTCTTGAACAACGGGGTGTAGACCTTGTTTACAAATACTATCTCGTTGCCTCGATATAGATATAATCTTCATCGCAATCACTCTTTGATCTAGCTTTTCTGTTAGCGCACCAGTATCGTTCTAATAGAAGAGCAAATCGGTCGCTTCGGAATAATGTTACAACAGAGGTACGCTTTTGCGTTACAATTGCACGTTTCAAGTCTGTCATGAGCTTATCTATCCAAGCCGGTTTTTCAGTTCCATTCAATAAACCATCTTCGCAAAGTGGATCTTTGCGCGCACTTTTTCAAAACGTAAGAAACGCTAATTACGCAAACGCTCATATAACGTGCAAGTATCGTTGGTCGGGAGGCTGCACGCGGTTCTGGCGAGGGTTACAGATATCGATCTTCTGTCTCGATGGTATATGGGAATAGCAATCAACAACTGTGAACTCGACAACAAGGTGTCAGGTGATCACTTCTGCGTTTACTGCTAGCTGTATTGTCTCCATTTGACGTACGGGCCTTGTTGTACACGCGTCCTGCAGAAGGTCTATTTTGAGATATACGCGATAGCAGCCTTTCGCTTTTTATAGAAGTCCACCACACTCCAGAGCGGACGAAACCATCTTTGATCAGACTCTTGCGGCGACCTGAAGATTAGCAAAGACTTAGCACTTAGCGAAGCTAAATCATGACAAGTACATCATAGAAGGAAACAGATATCGAAATAGAATACACTTCTAACGCTACTTCTGCAGTCTACTACAGGAATGAGCTTTGAACGCAGTTTTTACTAGAGTAATCAGCCTTGGCATTTACAAAATAAAGGCTCCCTTAAATCTCGAATTTTTCAGTACAGGCACTGACTGCTTGCTCAGGATGAGAATGAAAAATCAAGTAATAAGATAGGAACTAATTATGAATGGCTGCCAACGGTTGAGAACCCTAATCGTAAGCATTGAGGGAAGCTCAAAGGGCACATACCTCAGCATTCGTGGCAAAGCCATCATTCGTTCAATCCACGGTCGATAGTATGAAATGTTCATGTAGACTCCAGGAAGATTGGGCTCGGCGCAGCGAATGCCATGCGAGACAGTTCCAGCTAAGACCCATTGTCCGTTGGGCCTTTGAACTGACAAAGGGCCACCTGCGAAACCCAATAGCACAGCTAGGGTATAATCAGGCCACGGGGTAAACTTTTACTAGTAACATTTATTGATATCATTTAAAATTTCTATCATTTTCTTTCATTATTCAAAGCACACAGAAACAGCCCGGTTGTATGTTCCATAATCAGGTCAACATTGATTCACAGACGAGATACACAAAGGATGTACAAGAAATACACATTTCGATATTTATATAGGTAGTCATCCATGTCGATCGATCTTTATATTATCATCATGGTCATTCTTTTTCCGTTGCTGTCTCTGTACACTGTCCATTAACATCAGAAATATGCAGGACCTAGACAGGAAAGACTTTGGGGAGGATCGCATTTGTCTAATCGCATTAGTGATAATTAGAGGCCCTAGCTACTCACTCAGCGTTGTTTTCTGCATCTCCTTGGTCTACTACTATATTCATATTAACATAAGAACATCTACGTCTTTATGCATATGCGTATAAGTGTGTTTCCACGTATATTCATTTTTGAAGTTACGTTACAATTGCCCCGAGGCAGAAGGTAACAAAAGCGTAACACTTGACACTCGTCTAAGGATTCAATAACGCAAAACGCCCGCCATCACTGTGGTAAAGCCCATTTGCTTTATTTGATACTAGGCGGCGCCATTAACACGGCCCTGAGTTAAGTTGGTCAAAGGAATTTTATTCTTTTTTGAGGCTTTCCCAAAAACGATGAATGGTGTTTGTCTTGCTCCTCGTGGACGTCTGTACCTTGCTGCTGTTCCACTGAGACGCTCCATACTTCAACTGAATTTTCTCGCACCAAATGCACTGTGAACTTTGTCGTTTGCGGAAAAGACAAAAGGGAACAGAACGAAAACCCGTCTGCATGTGGTCCAAAGCTTTGAAATGAAGCAACGGGAGCGTACTTATCGTGGTATAAAAGGGACGCAGATTTGTGGATGGACACCGTGGGTGGATTTTCTGTGAGAAGGCAATAAGGAAATGGTCGTGGAAAGTGAAGGCAGTCACCCAAAACACGAGGGCCAATCGACAAAAAGCCGGAAGTTCAGAAGGCCTTACGGGGCCGAGTAGAGAACACGAGTAGTATTCCTTCTACTTCTTAGTTCTTCTAGTTAAAACAGAACGGCATGATGTCGTATCAAATGCTAGTGAGACCCAAAGCTATGAAAGAAAAATGTATGTAGATGATGACGCGCGCAACATTTGTTATTAACCCGTACTATAACATGTTGTTCTTATTTTTAGTCAGTCACACAATTTACAAGTGAAAATCGCTTGCAAACGTAACGAACGCATTGTTGTTGTATGCCTACACCGGGTGCGCGGTCTTCATATAACTGACTTGGGTATTTTCATCGGACATATGGGACCTTGGCTGGATTATCGCATGGACGAGTAGGACCGGAACGCGTAAAATAGTCTCAGACAAGAGGATTCCAGGTGACGCTCCGAGAGTTGCAATTGGTCTGAGCTAGTATTCATTCATACATACATTTCAAAAGCTCGTTCAACATAAGAAACACGTGCTGTTACACATTTGTTTAGGGTAAGAGCCGTCACTAACCTGTACGCAAGATTCATAGGGAACTCAAGGGTACTTAACCATTACAAGACCCATAGGAAACTAAGGTATACGTGGAAGTACGGCTGTAATCGTTCCATTGTGCTCGAAATGGTCTTATTGAATTAATTTTTTTTTTAATATTTTAATAAGAAACTGACTATCTAAGTAATTCGTTAGCTATTGTTTGCCTTAGGTGCGTTCATAGACTTTACTAGATCCTAAGTTATGCTTTTACCGAGTAGTTATTGAATCTGCATTATCTCTGGGATTCCAACGGTAGCGAGATATGTAGGTCCATTAGCTTGCGAATAGTTTTTTGTGCAGATCGCCGCATACATATATATACACATGCCTTATATGTGTGGTCCACTGATTTGCATAACCCGTTCCTCATATTTTTCACTCGATCGAATTTAAAACATGCTTTTTATGACTGTATATAGGCTTACACTCTTCGAGCGTACCCGGTAAGCCTGTGCGTCATTAAAATAGCCTTCGTTTTTCCAGCTGCTAGTCCACAATTTAGAAATTAATGCCAAATTATATTGCAACAATTGATACACGAAACAATCTTTAAGCTATGGTCCGATCAACTGTTCGTTAATCTGAACAATTCTATACGGAATAGCTCATGTCGTGTCCACCAACTGCTGGTATATGTAAGTATATGAGCGATCTGCTATATATAATGATCCTTCAACCTATATACCTGAGCCTTCACTTCTGGTTGTCATCTTACTATTGCAACAGTTTTTCTAGTTTCGTTTTCATGCTTGTCACCATTATATCTTTATATCTGTAAGCTCAATGAGTGGCCTCAGACGAACGTTCAGAAACTGGCCCACGTGTTATCGTTATTTTTTGCCAACTGCACATACCTGTACGGATGCATACGTATCACAGGCTCTTTGTCTCGTGCAGTTCTGATCAATCTTGAGCATTGGACCCGCATATGTATACATGCACACGTCCACGCATACTGTATAGTACGGTCAAACGCGATAACAGGATATTGGCCGAATTAAAACGTTCGATGTATGATTTTTAAATATTTTATTGGCCTTCAGACCCTCTGTCAAATGCTCAGAATAGACGTAAAGCCAAAGTATGATATAAGAACCGTAATAATGACAAACGTGATAATGCATAAATTCAAATATTTGTATTGAATGCGATTTTTCCAAGAGGGAACACACTGTCCACGGTTCTTGCAACCCTCCTCATGCGCCCCATGGAAAGTTTGTTAAGTGATATAACAATACGTTTTTATGGAAACGCTATCAGATAGTCACAGTACTAACAGGTTGTAGGTCCACGACATCAGGCGACAATTTCTGGCGATACCTGGTTAGAATAATAATAAACTTAAGAAAACAGGTTAATTATGTATACATACAAGTTAACCTAGTTAGCCCATTTAACGGCGCCGCCAATTTCACACCCTTCATCGAACGGCGCAGAGGTAATGTCATTTACAAAAAAACACATTCATGCATTTGCTTCTGATAGTCCTTTTCTACCGTTATTCTAGGTTTCTGTTATCTCATTCATTGGTAGTACAATCCAGCGCCCTTGAACTAGACACTGTCTATGCTAGTTCTGTGATGCTTCGCCGCGGTCAAAACGACCTTCAGAATTCTTCACAAGGTTTTTGCCAATATACATCCTTTATATTAGAGGCAAATGTTCCGAAGCTACGTTAAAGTTATGTCATATTCACAATACTCTATCCATACTAAGCTTGCTCCGATCCCTTGGAAGGCAGCCGATAAATCACCGTTTCTTTTTGCCCTTTATCAACAACAATTTACAAACGCAACCTAAAAACAGTCGTAGGCACTTAAGCTTTCAACGTGATTTTAAAAAGCAAAATTTAAGGTAAAAGTTTAGTTTCTTGAGTTCATACCTTTTCCTAGGAAGCATCTGCATATGATTTACACATAAAAGGTAAACAGGAAAATAACAATTGGTAATTATTAAATATGATAATGACTTAATGATTCCACGAGATTTGTCGACCTTGGAGATATAATCCCGTTAACGTCAGAAACTAGTATTTGTTTTGAGAAGAACAAATATAGAAGAAACAGCCTTGAATAGGTGTATTTCGTTTACAATTATGTAAGACTGTCGCAGTAATCTATCGCTTCGACGTCTCGTCGTATCTGAGAGATCAGAAAAACTACCCTAGTGTATTTAGTTTCGGAAGCGACACCTGCGTCCGGTCTTGCTCGGCCCTCTATGTTGGGAAGCATACAGGAAAACAAAATTTGTGTTAAGTGGATATTGGTCCGCAAAGAAATCTGAATGTAATGAAAAACAAAAGAGTACTTAAAACCCTATTCAATATTCGTGCGCTTTCCCTGGCCACTTATATCGGTTTAAGGCGCTTGGGTCATTATACCCATATACAAAATGCTACGATAGATCAGTGTTATGATCCTACAACCAAAGTAATTTTCATCTGTATGAAACCAATAACTGACGCATTTTACGGTTCATCACAGCTCTACGTCACTTACCATGTGACCCTATGTCAATAGTTGCGTGTTATAAATCCTAACTTCTACTTAATATGGGTCAGCGTAAATTAACGAAGAACGATTGAAGGCCTGCTGCGCTCGTAAAATATCTCCCATCATAGGCTCATATTGTTCGAACACTTTTTCCTGTTAAGGCTAAAACCTACACACACGCTACCGAGGCAATCAAACATAAAGTCGCCGCAAAGATGCTGGTCGTCGAGTTTGCTACAAGAACTAACGAAGGATTGCTTCGAGATAAAATGAGAAAAGCCCGTAAATTACCATGCGGTAGCGCTAGGACAGTTTGACTCCGCAGGGTTTGAGTACTACGAAACAGCGAAAGTACGCATGGACTCGATGGGGTCTTTCGTCGACCCTGCATTGGCGGAATGTGCAAAGCACGAATATCAGCTGTTGTACACCAAGTCCCAAACTACACACGCGATCTAATACAATATAATGTAAGTTGTTACTTACGATGTATCCTCTCACAATTGTATTCTTCATTATCCAGAGTTCCGGCCATTACTCTACTGTATGTACTCACTCTTGGCATACCGTTAACGTAGTAGTAGTATACAAAGTAGCAATCTAAATGGGCACGAAGGATCGGCAACGAGTAACGTCCTAATGGTACACTTATTATTCTCGCAGTGACTTTTTTTGGCCAGACTTGCATGCCTTACGTGTGCTAAACAAAAGATTTTACATATATGTCATATCGCACGTATCGAATATGAGTATCGACGTATGTCTTCGGCGTCGCAACTAATGAGGATCTTTGTCGCTCATTATTCAGTACTGGTAGCAATAGCAGTGAAAAAGGGTCTAAATAAAAACTACAATCTCGCGAAGGACGAACTTTTTTCTGTCTTATGAAATCGATAGCTGACAATAGATAGTAATCTAATAAAGTTCTTTAAAGGGAAGGAAGCTGATCAGTTCTTTGTCGCTAATGATAAACGAGCTTCCTTATTATGTCGACAGTAAAAACTGAAAAGATAGAAAGCGTTATTATCCTATCACTAATATCAGAAACTTACCTGCGTGCTATTATGATTCCCGTCTATAATGTAGAATGAAGAAAGAGCGAATCTACTAATATCTATATTGGCGGAACTTTAGCGAAGTTTTATCGTTCGCTCACTGGCTCGTTTAGAAATGCGCACATATATAAAAGTTTCTACAAAAAATAAAATCAATATTACTGACCGTATAAAGCTCATATAGCTAGAATATGTCGAACGCTGTAAAAGCTAGTACATCAGTTTTATCATCACTGATACCAAAGCACACACAGACACAAATATACGAGGTACGTCGCACGAAGTCAAATGAAACTTTGAACATTTCGAACAAATAGAGGGTAGGACGCGTGGATTTCTAAGAACACTTTCTCATCATATCGACAAAGAAACATCTCTCAGCTTCCCTTGTACTTCTCCATCTTGACGAGAAACAGCGTTTGAAACCGTGAGGCCTATGTATAGTCATGCCAACAACCACGATGCAACACATTCCCTCCTATAATGAAACATAGGGCACTCTATGTATGTGTATATTTTATATATATATATACGACATAAAGGGAAACATTGTTAATATCTACCTGAATCTCCCTCGCACGCATCTAACTTTCCCTCATCGTATCCTGCGCAGAGAAAATATTCGTGAATCTTCTTAACGTGTCCACTTTTCATAAACATTTGTTGGCATTTTTCTCGAGAAATTATAGGTAACTTGACGTTCTGAAAGATCAAGACGTCGAACATTTATATATAATAATCTATTGTTTCGAGCAATTTAATCTGGAGGTTGTCCAATCAGGGCAAATTCAACTGGAGTATTGCCTACCTGTAAAATTTTGGGTAGGCCTCCTTTGTGAGCCAACTTTCCCCATCCAGTCACAAAGCCGTTCTGACCCACGAAGTTTTCATCGAGATCTGAAATATCAAATGAGTACTAATAAACAGCTTAAAATTTGATTCTATTTGAAATCGAACGTTTATAATGAAGCAGGTAGGCGCTGTTTCAATGGTGACCTTCTGCTTCAGTTCTAAATTTTACATTTTCGTATTGCGCCTGACCATTTCAAGGCTTATAGACACCAACGTATATTAGTTGCTGATGACTTATGTACTCTCTAAAAATTACCCATTCAGTATGTAATTACGTCAGCAGCAATGGGCATTAAATCGCCACATACTGTCTGCATGTGATTGATTTGCATTATGTTGGCGTTTGATTCGGGGTTCGTCTTCGTCTGGGGATACAAACCAGGGAGGCAGATGGGCACAACTTTGTCGCTGAAGTCTACCGGAAATTTGAGTTCGAGGACGGCAAGGTCATTATCAAAGTCGGCTTCGTTGAAGTTCTTATGCACAATCATTCGTGTCACGGGTATTGTCTGAAGGTCCTGCTAAACAATAAAATTAAATAAGCAGTTATTCAGGGCACCTAATACTGTTTATATCTTCGAGCCCTTTTCGTGCTGCTTTTTTTTTTTACATTGAACAACTGTCTTTTTACCGGAAATTACGTTTTCATCCAATAAAGCTTACCAAGATCGCCATATTAAGTAGTGTTAGTGAATTGTTGTTTGTTGCATAATGCAACCCCATTCTGAGTAAGTCAGGGAATGTACATGATTTACTTATTGTAGTTCTTCTGAGGATTAAAACTAGGTCAACAGTGTGTACGTTCCAAAAAAAAAAAACAGATAAATCAACTAACACATAGAGCTCAATGAGCGGTAATGCACTAACGTTCTTAGAAAAGTCTTGAGGAGTATTCAGGAGAACAGATAATTACCTTTTCGTGCAGTCTATGCTGTCCAAGTATTGCGACAAGCGTTGACAGAAAAGCACGGGGTTTACAATGGGCAGCCGTAAGCGCGTGCCGTTCTGAGATGAGAACGCCGCCGCATTTATAATCCGCGATTGTCCCTAAATATTTCACTTCCTTCACAATTACCTGTGAGTACCCATAGTAGAAAAACGATTGTAACGTAAATTATCATATAACCAAAACGCTCGTAATAGTAGCGTCTAATAATAATGAAAAATTTCCTTGCACATAAACATATGATGGAGCGATAGTAGAGCCCAAATCTTATACGAATACATCAGCCCAATGAAAAGCAAATACGCTTTTATAGAACAGGATTCAATTAATTCACCACTCGTTTCTTTTATTTAAATCTTTTTTAGACGTGAACTAGTAATGGAGCATTTAGGTAGTCGCACGCGACCTGATCAGTCTATTTTAAGCTGTGTCTGCATCTCCAATACGACTATCAAATATATTTCCTACACATCGAGGCGCCCTAGCATTGCAAGAGCTACAAAAGTCGTAGTAGTTGCTGGAAGCATTATCTATTGCGTTCACCGTGCGGTCTTTGTCTCCTTCCTTTGAAAAGGAAATTGAACACTTGAGTTTGGCGGATTGTTAAGAGGTATCCCACCAAGCCCACTCGAATCCCATAGCAACCGCCTCCTCCCTATTACTGCGAGTAGTAAGTACGAGGCTGAATGCCTGGGCTTTTCATAGCTATTTTTCTGCTTGCTTTCTTCCAGTGGCTGTTTCCAGTTAGCTCCATTCATATAATGACTCAATTCTGTCGTGGTGTATTGTAATTTCTTTCTCTTCTCTCTCTCTATCTATATCTCAATGTATATTCTGTGTGTATGACGTTTCTCTAAAAGTACTGACAAATGCACTGGCTAACGACAGCTTTAGCGGCAGCAGTAAATGATGATGCATCACGCACTATGGCGGGCTCGCAGTCTATTATTGGTCAGTTGCGTGGTGGCAACAGCGACAGTCCTGGTAGTACTAGTAACAGTAACCATAATGGAATTGTTGGAGATGTAGCTGCCCTTGTTGTTATTGCGACAACTACCGCTCTCATCTATATCCTATGTACGATGATGAAAGTGGTAGGCATCCGGTGCCCCATCAAGACACGATGATACACTGACGTTATTCATCGACGACGTACGCCAATACGTATATATAGATAGCCCCATTTGATCGTCGTTCGGCAGGAATGTGAGACCGCAATATTGATAGATGATAGGTAAATCCTGATTTGCGTAATCACAGTCGTACTCATTCTCCACTAAGGGCTGAACGATAAAGACAAGATATACAAGCCCACACATACGCACAAATCCTAATGTCGTGTCTATGTACATATCCATATACAGAGAGGAAAAAAGTAAGCTTCAGAGAGATAAATGGGTTGATATAGGGTTATTATTATCAGTGCTGCTGTTGCATCGTAATGGTGCTCTTCGTCGATAGCACAGCTGCACGAATATATAGGAAATAGCGGTATGGTGTCTGTGCGCTGCTCCTCTCACTCTCGACTCCCCCAATAAACCACAGGGTATGGGAAAACGTCATTGCGATATACTCTAGAATATGAATGAGGTAACGTACACTCATACGAGGGTGTGGGTGTCAACGGGTATTTCTTATTTCGTAGCGATATAAGAATTTCTAACACATTTTTGAAGGCATTTGAGACATTTGCTGTGTTTGCCGACGGGCATACCCATGCCACATGAACACGGAACCGCTATGTTTACAGGACACATTGGAGCTGTCGCTTTTCAAGCACTATTTTTTCAACTATCCATGATTTTTTACGCGAAGGCCAAACGCTCATTGTAGCAAAGCGAAACGTTAAACATATTTGCTTGTCGTACAGATATACACGTTGACGTGAATAATCATTGTTGTTTTAGACGAATCATGCTTTGGAATAACTTCTATGAGAACAAAGCGTCTTTACCGCTTCCTGAGTGCTCGGGGGGTGCAATTTTATTAACTAGACTCGGGAGCTATGACTAGCCGAAGCCCTACATGCCTTCGCGCTGTACGCATCGGTCTGACGGTTTGTCGGAAAAATGCTTTCTTCAAAGCGAAAGATGGCCTGCTTTAGTCAGCGAAAACTAATGTTTAACGATCCGCGATTCATATACCTACACACTGGAATTCTACACACGAACAATTTGTCCGTAAAAAATATTGTCCCCAAAGCGGAAGTTGACGTAGTCCATATTAGTTCGGGTGCGCCTCTTCTCCGCATAGATGGCGCCGTCTTATTCATTAGATATGTTGTTTCTAGCTTGAAAGTCATTTCCACCGATACGTTTTCCAGGAGTGGCAATCACGTGCTTTCTGCGAGCCCCATGGCTGGCCAATTCAAACGTTCGTGAATCTATTTTGTCATCAAAAAGACTAATAGGAAAAATATATGGGAAAGTTGAGTTTCGAGTTACTTAAACTTGTGTGGTTAACTTATTAAGTAATCGAGAAAAGAATGCTAAAGCATAATCAAGACACAAGTACCGTAATAGTACGAATTGGGCAGAACCCGGCAAAAAAATGGTCAACCAGAGCAAAATAAAATTTAGTGTTCTGGAGCACTTCGTCTTTACTTATTGCTCTGGCCCCACATGTTTCGCTTATATTTTGCTATGCAAAAGCGGCCTATTGTGGTTATTTTGGTGGTTTACGTAAACTGTTGTGTTTATAAGCAGAACAATACTTAAAAAAAATATTCTGAATAAAAAGAAATGGATTCGGCCGCCGAAGGTAATGGTAAATGTTAAGTTAAACAATATTAAAATTGGCTTTCAGTCTTTGAATAAGCTGACAATCTCTTTCTTAGTTCGATTTTTCATTTATGCAACAGAAACCAAAGTGGCACGGGACAGCTTTCGGTATGACTTTTTTTGGTATCATCGTGCCCTACATTTTAAAAGTTTAGGAATGAGAATATTGTCCGTTTAAACGTTCAGAACATCATTGGGTAAAGTGCATAATGAAGGCGCTCACACGAACCTCATCACGAAGCGCGTTTGCCATTATATCTATGAAACAGGTAGTTGCGGGGTGAAATGCACACGTTTCGGTGCCCGTACTCTGCACGATGTAACGAAATTGTCTGTTATCTGTTCGTCGTTCCTCTGACCTTTCGTGTGTAGGTCCTTTCCTACAGTATCAGCTATGCATTTGTTCTAGTGGAAAATTATATAGTGGACGTGTGCCTATACTTATACGAGAAGATCAAAAAAAGGCCATGCAATGATAAACCGAATGCAACCGGAAGCCATCACACAGGACAGTGAGGGTCAACCGCAGGATGCTCCAGCGAGCATTCAGAACAGCTGTATTCCGTAAATTCACTAAGTTACATAGTATCAATAATAATACTGGCGACTGTCATGTTTGCGGTTTAAAGCATGATCCGCTGTCGAGAAGCGAAAGACGGCGTTTTAAGACTAAGCCATAGGTACAGCAGGCCCAATTTGTGATAATTCGACGATGCAGCCGTGAAATAAGTACCCCCATTAAATTAGAGGCGTTAAAGTCGTGGATCGAATCAGGTCGAATGAAGGTAACACAGCTAGTAGAGGTCGCCAACCAGACGCGCAGTCTTCATAGACAAATTCCACTTTTAACGTCACATAGTCGTTAAAGACGCTATTAAACATCACGTTTTTGTTTTAAAAACGAGAAGAATATCTTTCGTACAAACTAGGATCCCGCACCCTGTATAGATATACCATCGTCCTTTATTACTATTATTCTCGACGACAGGTGCAACGCGTTTTAGTGCAACGCGACTAGAGTTATGGCTTCGGGTAAACTGTCTTCTTCACAGATGGTCATTCAGACGTGCATGTATATTCGGAATTATTTGCCAACAAATTCTACTTGCCGAATGCTCTCCTCTACATCATCCTGTCACGAATAACTTACTTCCGTTGCAATTACCTTGGTTGCAATAAGTTGAGCTAGATGACGTTGCACCCATCGTTGCCATCATTGTTCTTCAATAAACAGCGATGAATCTAATAACAGTTGGCTAGAAGCCGTAACAGCCGCGGCAGCATCGGCGTCGGGAAGAGAGGCGCGGCAAAGTGTGTCAAACCGTATTAATGGAGCAAAAGTTCGCAGTATTCACCAGAATACATGTGCACGCTCCGAACCACAACAAGCAAGACGCTACCTAGTATCTAGGAGGGCAGAATTGCAATGGCTGCGTCGGCTAAAAACTACGTGATTACGGTAGTAGTCCGATAGTAACATTCTCCCACAGAACGGCAATAACAATAATGGCTACAAAATCTAACCCCCCCCCCCCCCCCAGATCGTGCTTTTAAATGCCTTAAGCTCGAAGTACAAGACGCAGCGATTGTAACAGAACCGACGTGCGTTAGATAAATCTGCACGGGAAAAAACTATATATCTGTCAAAGAAAGTCGTTTTTATATATGTGTCGATGTACATAAACCGGTACAATTCGGGAGCTAAGTGAAGTAGCGATGCCGCTTTGCTCAGTGGCGCCGCGGCGGTGGGGACTGGCTTTATTTCGGCGACTGCAAACGGACTGAATAAAAATGCTGATAATATAGAGACGAACGTGCGGGAGATGATATGCTGTGGTACCATCGTGGTACCGTTGTGGTAATATTAGACGCCTACTGCTATTTAGTCCTGCTTATCGCTGTAGTAAACAAAGGCGGGCTGTATCTGGAATATGATATTGACGGTGTTCTGAGTGAGATTGATCAGTGTTCAGGAAATGGATAGTTAGCTAGTGAGCAACTGGTTAAAGCGTATATTGTTTTCAGCTTCTTCTCCCTTATCTTTTATTCCTTCTCCCTTACTAAAACATTAAGTTGAGACGAAAGCGCTACTATTGCTGTTTGCTTAGGAAAATGCTTTTTACGGCATTCGCTACAAGCATGTTTACGAAAAGTTTTTCAAGCTTGTCAAAAACAAAGTTGGTATTAGACAGACACATCATTGAAGATTTCTATTATAAATGTTTGCATGAGTCTCCTGCGAGCCCTTGTCTCTCTCTCTCTCTCTCTCTATATATATA